TCATTTCTGGCTTACGTTTCTTTGATTGAATTTCGGTTTTGATTTTCCTGTTGTTTACTTTTTTTGCCTTTTGATTTATGTTTAGTCTGATTACTCGTTTAATTCATCGTACTTGGAGATTCCTTCGCCGTTTGGAAGTTGCTTCGGGCCGAGGAGATGTTATTATCTATGTCTTCGTCGCAGAGGAGATGTTATGGAAACTCCGTTTTTTTTTTTTTTTCAATCAATTCTCACCAACATATGTTTGCATGATCCATTGGATAGGGAACTAAAAAAATTGGCGCCGATGGTTTCCTTTTTGCTTGTTTGCTGCGATTGTCAGTCAAATTAAGTTGGAGAAGGTTTTCTTCCTTTCTGGACACATTTCCTTTATACATAAACTGCGTAATGCTCTCTGAGTTTTTGCTGATTCTTATCGTATGTCTGTTTACCATTTAGCTTCTTCCATGGCGTTGTTTTGTTTTCTGGTATATGTTTTTATTCATGCCGAATCACTTTCCCAACAAAAAAAATTCTGCAAGCTGTTATGGTCCCCATAGATTTGATATGGAAATTTGATTCCATTGTGCCTTTCTTTAAAAAAAAAAAAAAAAAAAAAAAAATCATAGTTTGAATTCTGAATTACATTCCTTCTAGCTTCAACCGGGGCAATTAAGCAATTTGGTTTTATCGTTTTGTTTATATATAGGACAAGGAAGGTATTCCTCCTGACCAGCAGAGACTAATTTTTGCTGGTAAACAATTGGAAGATGGTCGAACACTTGCAGATTATAACATCCAAAAGGAATCGACCCTTCACCTCGTCTTGAGGCTTAGGGGAGGTACTATGATTAAGGTCAAGACTCTGACTGGGAAGGAAATTGAGATTGACATTGAGCCAACCGACACAATTGATCGTGTCAAGGAGAGGGTGGAGGAGAAAGAGGGGATTCCCCCTGTACAGCAAAGGTCTGCATTTACCTTCTTCTCCATTACTCGAACTACAATGACTAAATCTTTCTATAGGCATTTGTATATGTGGATACCTTGTTGAATCTCCCTCAAACGCATCAGTATGCCTTCTCTGTTTAAGAATAGAATTTGGCTGGATCTTTCCTACTTAGCACAGGGTTCATGAAGTTGGAGTATTTTAGATTCCAGCATTTATTTTATGCATGAAGTGTTATTTTAAAATGTATTGACATAGCACAATTCAAACAACGCAAGGACAGGTCCATTGCTAATTTGAGAAGATTTCAGTGGATTAGACATCTATTTCCCTGTCCTTAGGTTGAAGGATATATCTCCACCCCCATATTTGGAGATCAGATAATGGACATCTCTATTTAGTATTTTATTGTATGTTAACATGTTTCATGTTTTTGAAGTTTTATTCCAAGTAGTGAGATTTACACTTGAGTAAAATTTAAATGAAGATGTAAGATGAGAATCTTGATATAGATTGACAGAAGATTTTGTTAGTTTCACGCACTTCAAATTTAAAATGTAAATAAATGTTTTCAGAAAGTCTAATGCATTATTGTTTATGTGATGTCCCACGTTGGTTGGTTGGGGAGGAGAACAAACCACCATTTATAAGGGTGTGGAAACCTTCCCCTAGTAGACGCGTTTTTAAAGCCTTGAGGGAAGCCGGAAAGGGAAAGCCCAAAGAGGACAATATTTGCTAGCGGTGGATCTGGGCCGTTACAGCTTGGGCCTGAAAATTGATAGTTTGATAGAGTTAGTCACGTTACTTAAGTTTAATTTGCCCATGATTTCTAGGCTTTCTGGTTGGTCTTCCCATGCTCTTTCTTCTAATATCTGTTTTATGCTATTATTTTCTGGGGTGGCGTTAAATATATCATAATACCCATGTAATGAGAATTAGTGAGTCAACAATTCTGAATTCCATCAAAATTCTTTCTTCTATTTCGTATTGATCTATGCACTCTGATATGTTACCGACTAAACGGATTAATCGGATTTGCTTATTGCTTATGGAACTTAAAATTTGAAAATGCACTCCGTTTTGCAGGCTGATTTATGCCGGCAAACAGCTAGCAGATGACAAGACGGCTAAAGACTACAACATTGAGGGTGGTTCTGTTCTCCATCTCGTGCTCGCCCTGAGGGGTGGTTACCTGTAAAAGCATTTTATCTATCACCTCCTGAAATTCTGAATTTTCAGTTTTATTTTGTTGGCGTGGATTAATGGAAAATATTTGAGCCCAAGCTTACTTTATTAATTACTCTCTAGTAGAGATTTCTCCTGTGTATCTCTATCTCCTTCAAGTTCAACATTATTAAAACCATTTGGTTTCTGCGTGGAAGAAAATTGTAAGATTTATTCCCCAAGTTCTTCGATTTTTCATTGGGGGAATCAAGCTTAATTTATCCTGGTGGTTATACTTTCATTTTTATGGATCCTCTCCTGTCTATGACTCGTGCTTGTGTTACAGGCGCGTGTTTGGTCGTCCCTCTCCAGGTGCGCTTCATACTCTTTCTTTCCTCTTATTATAATAGATCGTGCTAGAGACAGTTAATATGCGTCTTATCTACTCCGCTATGTTTTGGATTTACCATGAACTAGAAATTCCATTTTTTTCAAAAAAAAATCTCTAATATTTTCTTTTTATGAATTATATGATATAAATGGATTAGATGATGGTTGGATTTAAATGCCATGTTTGAGACTGCATGTAGATGAACATGCAAACATGAATATGGCTGTCTCAACAGTTAAATGACATTGATTCTTTCTTGAAATTAGGGTTTATACTCTCGTTTCCACATTTATTGTGCTCAATAATGGAAGAATAATGAAATTCATTTACAATACCCACAAAATAAAAAATAAATCATCGTACAGAGCTGCAGCAGATGAAACTGATGCAATGTTTTCGTCACTTTTTTCAAATGCTTTGACTCCCTTTTATAATTTGAATCATTTTCTTCCAAATTAGGAACTTAAAAGTCTAAGGTTTGATAAGGTTTGATATCAAGGAAATGTTTTTAAACCATTATTGGATTATTGATGTTATTTATAATTGCAATTTCAAGTTTGACTAAAGAAATATTTTAATGTATGCTTGTAAATTGCCTACTCATTTCAATGCATTGACTGAACACTAGGTATCAGAAATGGCTTTGATAGAAGGATTAATGCTTTTTGTAATTTGAAATTCTCTACCATCTAATATCAATTTTGATCGAGGACACTGACGGTTGTTCTGTATTATGTATTGTCGCATTCCATTGTGTTATTTTATGGATCTGGAATCCACTAATCAACACTCTTGACACTTTTCTGAAACCGTTCTAAAAATGTGCTATTGTTTCATGCCATAACATAATATTTAAATTCCTAAAATGGGTGTCTTAAAAGTAATAGTTCTCTCATCATTTATTCGAATAATTTTCTTCCCTAACTAAAAATTTCTACCTAGAATTGTCTTTATAAATCATGTAAATTATATTTAGTTAAGTTGTTATTGATATTTATATTTATTTTAGAATCTACCATTAAAACGTCGATAGAAGATCTCAATTTCACAAAAACAATGGATAAATATTTATATTGCTCAATATTTCTTGAAAAAAAATTATTGTCAGTTAAATTAAAACACCTATTTGATATATTTATTTTTTCATATTTTATCAATTTCTTTTACGATATTAGAGATATCGATTAATCTTCATGATTGATATCAATTTTATTTCTTCAGATCAAGAACAGTCACGCATACGTAATAAGTCATGTCTCTATCTCTAGTATGGACACGTAGGTGTTTGGTAATGGTTAAAAGTCTGAATGGTTAGTGAAATGTTACTAACCCACAAGAAAATATTAATATCACACGTCCATTGCATTATTAATAATAATTATTTGCTACTTTCCTTTCGCTACCAATTTTTTCTACACAACAAAAAGATATTTTAGACAACCAAATTAATAATAATAATAATAATAATAATAATAATAATAATATATGCCTTTTTTTCTTCCTTTGAATGCCACCAAATTTGTTGGATTACCAAATAATCTGACTTTTTTTTATTTTTCATTCTATTTGTGATATCATAATTTCAATAATTAAATATATCCTAAAATTAAATAAAATAATAATCATTTACAGGTGAACTAATTAAGGGAGCTGGTTGAAATTAGAATTATATATAAATATCTATAAAATATTTATTAATTTTTATAGAATTAAAAATTTGATCTCTAACTTTTTTTTTTAATTTTTAAAAACAATTTTCCACCCATATTTAATATTCAACTCCTATAATTTCTACTTCTCCAAAGAATTTTCAATTCCTACCAAATCCAAACTCACAATTAATTAATTATTAATTAACTAACTCACTAATTACATCATCTATTACTTTTTATTAAAAAAAAAAAAAATCAACGATTTTTAATTAAGGAATATCCTTGAATCTTTATTAAATTACCATTTTAACTTTTTTACAGTTAGGGATTAAAAATTGAATGGTAAAAATGATTAATTAGGTAAATTAGATAAATATTTGATTAAAATAAATCACAGCTTTTGAACATACCAACACACACAGAGATTGATGGAACAGCCAAAGATTAGGATGTGGTAATTACTTATTAAATATATTTAATTTTATAGTCAAATTGAATTAATTAATTAATTAATTTAAGTGGAGGATATGAAATTAAAAAAAAAAAAAAAAAAAAAAAGTTTGGTAAAACAGTAACATCCGATGGATCCCCTCAACCTGTCTGTCACGTTGATGGTGATGATCTTAGGTTGCAAACTTACCTTCCTGAAATTGACCTCAGGGAATCCCCGACCATGCTTTTTCTTTTTATATTTTTTTTCCTTTGTTTAAAAAATAATAATAATAATAATAATAATAATAGGGAAAATATTATGGTTTAAAATCCTTCAATTAATTAATTTATAACTGATATATCTATATATATATTACAACATATTCCCCCATCCTACGTTAGGGTATGAACCTTCTGTTCTGTCCCCTCTGTCTCTCTCTCTAGTTTCTCTCTCTAGTTTCTCTCTCCTCTTTCATATAATAATAAGAAGAAGAAGACTTGTATATGGTAAAGAGATGGGTAAGGGAAGGGCTCCATGTTGCGATAAGAATCAAGTGAAGAGAGGTCCATGGAGCCCTGCTGAGGATCTCAGGCTCATCAATTTCATCCAAAATTATGGCCATGATAATTGGAGAGCTCTCCCTAAGCAAGCAGGTACTCTCTCTCCCCTCTCTCCGCCGTCCACGGCCGCCGGACCATCTCTCTCTCTCTCTCTTATTTCATCCTCAAAGATTATTGGGAGTGTGAGTCCGAGTCCCCATTGGTTAATTCAGTGGAAGATCGTGAAATTATAAGTGAAGAATACCACTTTTATTGGTATGAGACGTTTTGAAAAAATCCAAAACAAAGTCACGAGAGCTTATGCTCAAAGTGGACAATATCATATGAATAGTCGTGATTTCTAACTTTCTCTATCTGGGTTTTGCTTACTTTTCTTATTCTCTAACCCTAAATTCAAAATTTTGCTTCTTTTTAAATGGATAATATTATTCAAATTTTGACAATTTGAATGAAGTAATTATTAAATGTTCCAAAATAAAACAAATTTACTGTTTTATTTTACTGTAGAGGAGGGGATAGAGAGTGCTGACCTTTCAAGTCATTCTATCATAAGAAGAAAAAAAAAAAAAAAAATCATTTCTGCTGATTTTTTTTAATAATTAATCCTTCCATTTTAATTAGATATATAATTCTTTAATTACTTACTAACAACACACTTAAACCTATTTTCATAACCCGACCCTAAACTTTAATTTCGTGACGTATTATTTTACAAGCTTAGTTTACTAATGTAGTTTAGTTCAGTTAGTTTAACGATCTTTTTCTCAATTCAAATTATTTTCATTTTTAAACGATGTCTTTCTTCTAAAGCTTTTCAATTCACCTAATTTCTTTACGTTACTTCAGAATATTGTATAAATAATATATGGTAATTAATCGATCTCTACCTAACTAAAAAATTGAAAAAAAAAAAAAAAAAAAACTCTTCAATATCAAGTGACTGATACCTTAAATTCAACCAACCGACCAACAACCTTGTTTACCAAAAAAACACAATTTTTTTTTCCATTCTGTCCCACGTGGATTTTAAAAAAACAATTAAAAAGAAAAAAGAAAATTACCCATAAAGCCCTTTCTTCTTTATTTATTCAAGAAAAAGAAATTTGAACTTTTGTATGTTTTATTTGACCATATTATCTTATAATGATTGGTTAGGGTGATTTTCAGCAACAATATATTTGTTTTATTTATCATTTATTTAACGATGAATTCTAACGTTTTTTTGTTCCCTTAATTCATTTTATAGGATTATTACGATGTGGAAAAAGTTGTCGTTTGAGATGGATCAATTACCTTCGACCCGATGTAAAACGAGGAAACTTTACACAAGATGAAGAGGAAACCATAATCAAGCTGCATAAAACTTGGGGGAACAAGTATGATTTGATTTGCTATAATAAATTTTAATCTTTCTCCCTTTAACAAATTCAACACATTTCAGGTGGTCTAAAATTGCATCTCGTTTGCCAGGAAGAACAGATAACGAGATAAAAAATGTTTGGAACACACATTTAAAGAAGAGATTATTAAATACGGCGACAACCAAAGATTGCAACGAACCAAAGGAGTCTCTGACAACTTCATCATCTTCCTCCTCGAGTTTACGCCTCTCCAACGAAACTCAAGACTTAGAGACCGAACAACCGAACAAGACCAACTATGTTACCAGTGATCTCTTTTGTCCCGAACAACAAACCACGAGTTCCCTTTCGAGTAACCCCTCAAATTCAAACTCAAGTAGCCAAGTTGACAAAGTTTGGCCTCAAAACCACTTAGATTTTGGAGAGGAAGTGGAGAAGAAGAAAGAGAATAAGCAAATAAGGTCGGAATTGGAATTGGAATTGGAATTGGAATCAATCGAAATCCCATTAGAATGGGATAAAGATTTTTGGAACATATTAGATTTAGAGGACATAGATCTATTCGGATCTAACGAGGTAGATCAATATTACTGTCAAGCTTCGAACTTTGGAGAAGAAAAAAGGCAGGAATTTGAAAATGATAAGTGGTTTAAGTATTTGGAGAACGAGCTGGGATTGGAAGCCGATGGCTGCTCCGGCGCCGACGATGTCACGGCGGCCGAGAGACTGCTAATGGACGACGTGGACCCTTGTATGGCTTATTTTGCAGATGGGTTGACATAACAACTTTAGAGCTAAAATCCCACTTCCAAAACATATATATATACATATATGTATATATGTATATATATATACACACACACATCATGCACTTAATTAGGACTTAATTTTAGTGTTTTTCCTAAGGGAAAATTAATGTTTTATAGGTACCAACATTTGAATTGTAAAGGAAAATTACAACGAATTAAAACCATACAATATGGTTATGTAATGTCAATACTATACTATAAAACAATCTATCCATATCCATTTATATTTTTGGATTTAGTGGTTCATATTGCATCCTCTGTCGTTATTAAATTAAATTTAGTTTACCTTGACTATTTCTCGATCCAACCTAATCTATATATACTCCTAGTCACGATCGTTACATTTAGAGATGACCTTTAACTTAAGTTAAAACCAATGGCATGGAAGTTTAGAAATCAAAGTCAAAGAACATTGGTTTGGTTGGAGCAAGAATGATGCACATGCACACAATATTCACATACCAAACCCCAGTCAGTAGCTTTGCCTTTAAATCTACACCAAACTTTACTTACTCAAACAAATATATACATTAATTATTTATTTTAAAAATTGACATGAAACTGCAGAACTAAGCTCACTTCATTACGAAATTGACATGAAATTATGATAATACCCAACATTCTTTTATGATTCCATCTACCATCATCAAACAAAGAAGCTAGGAATCGTAGGAGTGCAAAGAAAAGAAACGTTTACCACTTTCATCTCTTGAATAAGAACACAGGCACTGGAGCTAGTGGCCGGTTCAACATCTGAAGCTTACAACAAATCCAATTCTCAACACCCAGCTCGCCAGAAAATTTTTGGATAGTATCCAATTCTTCCCTAAACATTAGAAAACAAACCCATTAGAACGTCTATCAAACTCACAAACATTTGCGCGAACTAATAATGAAACAGTCTAAACTCAACGCTAGCAGATATTGTCTGTTTTGGTCCGTTACATATCACCGTTAGCCTCACGATTTTAAAACGTGTCTATCAGGGAGAGGTTTCCACACCTTTATAAGGAATGTTTCGTTCCCTCTCCAACCGATGTGGGATCTCACAATCCACCCCCTTGGAGGCCCAGCATTCTTGTTGACATACCGCCCAATGTCTAGCTCTAATACCATTTGTAACAGCCCAAGCTCACTACTAGCAAATATTGTCCGCTTTGGTCCGTTACGTATCACCATCAGCCTCACGGTTTTAAAATGCATCTACTAGGGAGAGGATTTCACACCCTTATAAGGAATGTTTTGTTCCTCTTTTCAACCGAGATGGGATCTCACAAACAAGCGTTATTTAATTCGATGTGTGTATTCCCCTGTCCGTAACAGCGTGATATATAACCCCAACCCCACAATTTATTTTCAAAGAAAACAGAGATATGACTAGTTCAGAGATTGGATTACTACCAATGTCATCCCACAAAGCAGGTATTTAGCCTTGTGAATTAATTTTTACTGATGAAAGAAAAAGATGAAATATGCACTTGTTGATGCATTCAAGATTTGTCCACAACGATGATATATAGATAAAAAGTTTTAAATCCAAAATTAGTAGCTTTAAGACAGAAATAAGCATGGATTGCAGTGGGAAGAAAAAGAAGAGGAGCAGAAGTATTACAGTCCACCAGGATGCCCCACGTAAACCACAAGGCTGATGAGCCCTCCAGGTTTCAGAATTCTATAGGCAGCTTCAAGTGCTTGTAATGTTGTTTCTGACTTTGTAGTGATTGCTTTGTTACCACCAGGTAGGTAGCCAAGGTTAAATGCAACAAGCCTAAGAAATAAAGCAGCATTAACTGGTATATCTAATCACAGATAATAAATTTATTTGAATTCTTTCTCGTTCTTCAACTTTCTTACATGGTTGTTCAAGATTCATAATATTAGCAAAAAAATGCAAAAAAGGATAGGTATCAATTAAAATGACAAATATGTCATTACTAAGCACAAAATGTGGAATCATTACCTAACGGGAGAACCCTCTGGAATGACATCTTCCATTCTGCTGTGGCAAATGGAGGAGAGTTTAACAAGTTTCCTCTACATAAAACTGGAAAATATAAGCACTTGAACAATTGTTCAAAGATTAACTACACAAATCCGAAGGTAGAGTCATCGGTTGATCCCCATTTTTTGAAAGTGAACTGACAAAAATAAACGTTAAAAGCTTTCCGCACCGCCCGGTGTTATAAATGGTATCATAGCTAGACATCGGGCGGTGTGCTAGCGAGTACGTTGGGCCCCCAAGGGGGGTGGATTGTGAGGTCCCCATCAGTTGGAGAGGGGAATGAAGCATTCCTTAAAAGGGTGTGGAAACATCTCCCCAGCTGACGCGTTTTAAAACCATTAGGCTCACGACAATACGTAACAGGCCAAAGTGGACATATCGGTTAGCAGTGGGCTTGAGTTGTTACAAATGGTATCAGAGTTAGACACTGAGTGGTGAGCCAATGAGAAAGCCAGCCCCAAGATAGGTGGATTGTGAGATCCTACATCGGTTGGAAAGAAAAATGAAACATTTCTTATAAGGGTGTGGAAACCTCTCCCTAGCTAATGCGCTTTAAAACCGTAAGGCTGACGGTGATACATAACGGGCCAAAACAGACAATATTTGCTATCGTAATTACAATTTTAGGCTGTAGGCCACTAATTGGAGCAAGTTATGAGATATATATTTACTAGAAGTAAATCATGGATTGGCCTAAAATGTGATAAATCAATGGATACCTCTTTTTCACTGAGTGACTCATCCAGTAGCGCAGAAGTGCTTTCTAAAGCCTCTTTCTGAACGTCCATTGCATAAACACGCGCAGAACCAGCTTCATCAGCAACCATTTTGAGCATAGCTAGAGTATCATACCCATTTCCACAAGTAGCATCTACCACTGTATCCCCTGTTCTGATGACACGTTTCCATACACTGATGGACAAGGTAATTAATATCTAGAACAACAGCTAGAAAGCAAGCAAAGTACTGCCCATAATGCAAAATCTTCTGTAGAACAAAATGCAAGAAGCCATGATGCTGTTCTGTGTTTAAAAAAACAAGGCATAGGTTTGAGCCTAATGATCATACAGCTCAATAGAGACCATTGCATTGAAAAAGAGAGGCCAGTGAAGAACAAAGGCCTGAAAACATAGAAAACATACAGCCATACCAGCACATGTAAAAATGCACAAAAAAAAGTTAGCTGATGATGCAAATACATACGAGTGAGCAACTTCTGTCGCTCTCTTCTTCCCAAAAAGGTAGCCAACCATGACATCCTCCAATCCTATTATCGCATCATGCACAATTTCACAACAGCACATCAAATTTCAATGGAAATGATTACAAAAACAACAACAACATTAACAATAATCAAAATCAAGACCCCTAAAACGAATATTATGTTGGTAAATGATAATCTAACAAGATAATGTGCAGATTTAAGCACAACAAAATGAAAATGTAACCTTCTAGAGAAGAAAAATCTTTCGACGACGACGACGGTGAAGAGAAATAAGTCTGATACTCGGACGATATACCATTTGAGTGAATACGATTAGAAAAGCAGCAAAGATTTCTCAAATGTCTTTGACGTCCTACGACTGGTTCGGAGGCAGCAGCAACCGCTACCCATTTGTACCCAAATTTCAAAGATAACATCTCCCCAACTCTCTGGATTACCTTCACCGGCGATTCCGCCTGTACTGTCGTCGGTGAGGGGACGGAATGACGATTACAATACGACCGGGCCGGGTTACAATGAGCCCACTAACAAGAATATGGCTTTGTCATTATTTATGGGCTTTTACAATAATGGGCTTTTGTGATTATTTTAGCGAACCATTCAATTAAATATTAAAAAATATTATCTGACTAGACATGAAGATGACTTGTCTACCACCTTGCCACCTCAGCAGTAGCATGTAGTCCACGGTATGGCGTGACCTTTGAGAACAAAACGACTAAAACGCACCGCCTTGAAACAGTTTGTTGCTGCTGTTGTCTTTTTCTATGTGTATGAACTGACACGTGGCATCGAGATGAGCACACTCGGACAAATGGCTCTCCTTGTGCCAAGTAAGATGTACACTCGGCTATTTAAATACCAAATACTGTCCAAATAAAATTGAGATAATTAAATATTAAAAAAAATCTAAATAATTATATTAATTAAAATTATATTTAATTTATTTGTTCAAAAAATGCCTTGGAGCATAGGTCACTTCAATTAATTGAACTCCTGCAGTGCTTCTCTGCCACGACGCAACTGTCCATACACTTGTTTTGTTTTGTTTTTTTGTTTTTTTTTTTAAATAATAAAATTTAATGTCATTTTCATCTTGGCCTTCTTTGATAGTTATTTTTAGTATGAATTAAATTAACATTTTTAATTTCTTTTAATAATAATTAAATTTTGTTTTGAATTAAACTTATAAATATTAAGGATATTTTAAGAATTTAAGTTAAATTAAAAAAAAAACTAAATATACTTGATGTAAAAAAAATATTTCAAATTTATATTGGAGGATGGGGCAAAATGGTATTTTAATTATTTAATTATTTATTATTTGGTAAAATGTATAATTAATTGCATGAATTGGCCAGAGCTTGTATGAGGACACGTGGAGTTAATCTATTGGAAGATTTATGGACGGTTACAAATGCGCGATGGATTTATTTTTCTTCCCAATGGAAGTTTATTACTTAATTGATACATATTCAAATTTTCTCTTAAAGGAAACCCAACCTTAATTTTCGGAAACTTTTTCTTTTTCCGACTTTACCCTCCGATTCGGGGCTTAATTACTTCCTCTACCCAATTTCGTTGGAACGCTCCGCTCGCTTTGTGAATTTCTTTCTTTTTTTAGCATTTTTTTTTCCTTTCAATAATAACATAATTTAATTATAATAAATTATTTGATATAAATTTACATATTTGAGTTTATAATATGAAATAAATAATACATTGAGATATTTTAATATAATTATTGAATTATTTTAACTATATTCAAATAATGTGAAGAGACTCATATAATTTTTAATATATTACATAATGTGAATGGAATTTGAATCCAACTTTATAAATAATTAAAAAAAATTCATATCTTAATCGATTAATATATATAATTATATAAGCTAATTTAATATAATATTTGACTCATTAAATGCATCCTTCCATTTATTTACGTGCATGTGATTGCAAAAGTAACTTTTACTTTTGGTTTTGGAAAAATAAAGTATTATTATAGGACAAGAATGCATTATTTATTTAATTTTAAAAAATAATACATTCTTGTCCTATAATAATACTTTATTTTTAAGTCGGTCACTCAATATTGTTGTCCAAATTATATGATATGTCGGTGGATACATTTTAAGTCGGTCACTCAATATTGTTGTCCAAACTATATTACTTACTTAAATTAAATATAATTGACTAAATTATAATAACAAAGAATAAAAATCTTTAAAAAAAATATTATTATTAATTTAAATTATATTTACTTTAATAGCTTTTTTAGAATATCAAATCAAAATTAGGATAACCTCATAAATAAATGATATAATTCAGGGGTGTTTTTAATAATTTAATAAATATAATTCGTAGTGTCTAATTGTTTTTTTTACTTAGATCAGATCAGTTAATAATTATTATGTTTTAATAATTTATATTTAATATAATATTTATAATTTATATTTAATTATCACTTATTAAAATGAAAATACTTAATGTATTATTTTATTTGAAGTATAATTTTATATATAGTACTAAAGAAAAGTATTAAAAA